CCACAGAAAGACGCACGCGATACCTCAAGGAGAGCTGTCTGCAATGCAGAGTGCGCAACAGTCGCTGCTTGTTGGCGCTGGCTGCCTTTACCCGATACTCATAAGTTTGATTTTCATAACTGGTATAGGACGCAACCACACCAAGATGCACAAACTGGGAGACTTTGGGAATCGTGATCGGGAAATGGGGCGTGCCTAGGTTGAGTGCTGGTTTGCCATCTACCGTGCAGCTGTGTCGCCTGATCCACTGTCTGGCAGCACTACCTCGCAGGCCCACAGATTTCGGACTTAGTATCATTGATTTTCATACCCGTCTCCCGAAACAAGGAAAAGGCAGCTCGGACAGCCTTGACTGCAAATGAAAGATCACCAAGGGTGTCAACCTCAAAGGCTAAATGAGTATCATCTGCAAAGAGAGTAACCAACCTCGCGGCCCACTCCTCCGTCGTTCTAGCGGCTAACTGCTCATATAGCCAGCATGTGTAGACCGCATACAACAGCGGCGCCAAAGCGCATCCTTGGCGTACTCCCTTTTGCATGGCAAAGGAGCCCACGCGAGCGCCGTGTGACACGGTGTATCGACACGATTCGTGGATAGCAAGAATGGCCGCACAGAGTGGCTCGTCTGCTCCTGCATACCTAAGCGCCTTATGCAGAATTTCTCTAGGAAGCTCGTCAAAGGCTCTACTAAGATCAAGGCTCACTTGCAATCCCCCAAAACAGGTACTGGCCTTCCTACCATCCTTGCGATCATGAACACTCAAGGTGCCACGACGAATCTTCTCGCGAATCCGAGCGCAGTGCTGTGCTACCCTGCAAATCGCATGATCGATGGCTTTCCCTGGGCAGTATGCATATTGAGGACACCTAGCTATCAGGGGAGCAACCTGAGGCAGGAGCCTGGACCTAAGCGCAACCGAAAGAACCTATAGAGGCCGGGTCTTGAAGTCCCAAGGGTCGGAGATCCTGCGGTCTACGTGCCGATCGTCCCGGTTTGGGCAGAAGCGATAGAGCGCAGTCCGTCGCCTCCTGAGGAAAATGGTCGTGAGCAGCACTGCATTGTGTTAGCCTGGCACTGTAAAACTCTGCAAAATCATCCGGACTAAGGCACCAAACATCAGCCGGAATGCTCTCGGCAGGCACAGCTTTGCCCCTCTTAAGCTGACCGATGGCAGCCTTGATTTCCTCAGGTTCAAAGAGCAGAGGTTCCGCACTGGCAGGTTGGCTGAACATGCGAACCCTCCGAAACGCCCCTTGAAAGTAGCCATAGATGTGCTCAAATTCTTGGTCCATAGTAAGCATATGCCCTTCAGGATCCCGAATGCGAACTCTATCACGCCTCTTTTTGGGGGCAATATGATTGATGATGCGATAGACCCCAGGCATATCCTGCTTAGCTGCAGCAGCCTCGGCAAGACTTACCTGCTGTTCAAGCCAGGCCCGTCGCTTTCCACGGCTGGCATTACGGAGCTCACGACTAGCCCTCTGAAACTCAGCATAGCGTCTCCAGGCAGTGAAAATACTCGTCAGGGAAGGACCTACTCTTCTCCTACGCATAAGCCGATGTTGCGAACGTAAACCACAATTTGGGCCTGCCCATGATCAGAGGACTGGGGCTTCCTAGTGTGGGGATAGAGCCTTTGGCAAATAGGAAGAATGGCCTCATTGACTTCCTGTACGCACTGCCCAGGACCCATGTTCCGTAAGACCCGTTGAACTTGTCGTTGCAGCTCTTGAGACTCCTGATCCTGTTGCTGAACGCTGGCCCTCAACGCTTGAAGGGAGAACCTAAGGGGCTTAGGGTGTTTAGGGGCAACAACCCATCCTGCAACCCAGGGAATATCCGCATGCACCGGCCTCTGCTTTGGCCCATGACGCCACGGTGCCAAGTCCAGATCGCGAGGTACAGCCCTCCTTGCAGCCGGATCTGCATGCCTCCTCCTAGTAGCAATAAAATCCAGTTGGGTTTCCACCTCCCCGCTGAAGAAAGTGCGGCTGTGTCTTGGCCGTGCTGAACTCCATGTGTTCAGTAGCGTCAGCTTTTGCTCAATCAGCAGTGCAGAGAGCTCCTCGTCCGGTGTTCGCATGGTATGGAGTAGCCCACGTCCAACTAAACCAGCGATCGGTCTGCAGACTGAGTTAAAATCCGCTCCAATCATCAGAATGTTGCGTCCCGGAATCCCCTGGCAAAGCTTCGCAAGCTGCGACCAGATATGCGTGCGTTGACGCGCGATCTTGTCTCTGTCCCGATCTTGCCAGACATGTTGATAGCAGGCGATGGCGTCCAAGCAAGCCTTATCATCCTTATAACGGACATGAAGAAGTCGTCCAGGTAGCCATGTGCAGTGACTCAAGCCATGCTCGCTGAAGACACTTCTGCGCAGAAAAACCGCCACCCCTGCGTACCTGGCCTTCGGATCAGCCGAAGTGAAGACACTCCAGCCGGGAAGCAGCCATTGCGCGTCCTCCTTGCCAAAGCCATGGTGCGTTTCCTGCAGTATGACGATGTCAGCAGGACACGACTCTTGAAGCCAGAGCTTGAGTGTATCATAGACTTCTGCTGTCACTCCTCCTATGTTGTAGCTCATCACACGCAAGCGAGGGCGCTCACGCACTCCGGGAGGAGCCTTTACAGTAGGGGAGCAGGCGCTCGGTGCACACCCGCTGACAGGCAGTCCCAGACATTGGCGCTGTGCCAACGTCCTTTGTACCAGGTTCCACCCTGTTGTTCCGCTCTTCTCCGGGCCCGTCGAAAGGCCCTTTTCCTAGCGTGACTTTGAATTCTCCCAGATAAGGGCCTCTCTCCAGAGTTTTTCGCTTCCAAAGAAGCTTCTGGGGCTGCTGTGGTACAGCCTCCAACCCTCGGGTTTGCCAGCGATTGCCCAGTGGCATATGTAACGCTCGTCCCGCTGGCCAGGGGATTTGGGACCCCTGCGGCTGGCCTGGTAAAAACATCGAGCTCTGTATGAAGAGGAATCGTAGAAGAACCAGATATCTCCAGCAGGCGCCCATTAGCCCTGGAGTGAAAAGCAGGCCCTACCTTCCAGCTCAATTTCCAGCCGAAACCCTTAGTAGTAGTAGTAGTAGTAGTAATAGTAGTAAGTAGCAGCAGTGGTAGAAGCAACAGTAACAGTATCAGCAACAGTAACAGTAATGGTAGTAGTAATAGCAATAGAAATAGTAATAGTAGTAGTAATAGCAGTAGCAGTAGTAGTAGTAACAGTAGTAGTAACAGAAACAGAAGCAGTAACACTACGAGCAAGGGTAAGTGTAAGAGTAAGAATAAGAGTAAGAGTAGAAATAGAAGTAGTAGTAGTAGTAGTAGTAGTAGTAGTAGTAGTAGTAGTAGTTTTGTCACCCACCTGGCACACCGTAGTAGTAGTAGTAGTAGTACGTTAGTAGTAGTAGTAGTAGTAGTAGTAGTAGTAGTAGTAGTAGTAGTAGTAGTAGTAGTAGTAGTCTCCACCTTCAAATGTATCTACGACCAGTCATCCAGAAAGAGTGGAGGCCAAAACCGCGCCATCTTCTACCAGCCACGGGACGGACACATTGTCCGCAAGCTTCGGATTGAACATAACAAGGGTGACACGGCCACCTATCAATGGCATCGTCAGCGCGAGCTGCGCGAGCAACGGGAACAGCGTGACAAGCGCTCTGGTGAAGAGACACACTCTCATACAGACAAGCGCTACAGGGACGGCGACGCCTGGACCCGAGGAGGATGGTGGAATCGTGGCTCGGATTCTAGAGCCAGTGGCAGCCGCTCCTGGCATCAGTGAGCCCTGTCTGCATTCAACGGAGCCAATGGCAAACTCAGCAGTAAGTCGCGGAGGCCATGCCTGTTTTCACTTGCGTCTCTTCCAAGACGGACTGACGGCCCTTCTGCCGGATGCCGCCGCTGTCAGTCGGAAAACAAACCTTAGCCTGCTGCTGAAAGCGCTACTGCTGCTTTGCCATCAGCATACACAAAGCGAATTTCGTCTCTTCAGGTACATACGACAATCTGGAGCTCGATACCCTGCAGCCTGCAAACTCGTTTTTGGCTGACCACTGCCAGTTAGCTAAAGCCTGTAGGCCGCAACCACTCAAGGGTCTTTCGACCTGGGCGGATCAGCTATAGGGTCTGAGTCAGTTTCACACCAAAGTGAGTGCACCGCGGCAATCGCCCGCTATGTGCAGAGCCCGCTCGCACAGCGTTCAATTGAAAGTAGTAGTAGTAGTAGTAGTAGTAGTACTAGTAGTAGTAGTAGTAGTAGTAGTAGTAGTAGTAGTAGTAGTAACAGCAATAGTACGTGTTAACAGTAACTAGTACATAGTAACTAGTAAATAAAAATAAGTAAATAGTACCTGGTAAATAGTAACAAGTAAATAGTAACTAGTAAAGAAAATAAGAAACAGTAAATAGTAAATAATAATAGTAGCAGATATAGTAATCGTACTAGTAATGGTGAGAGAAATATTAAGAGTACTCGTAATAGTAATGGAAATAGTATTAGTAATAGTCGTCGTCGCAGCGGTAGTAGTCAGTAGTAGAAGTAGTAGTAGAAGGACGAGGATAAAAGTTCTGCGTGATCTTGGCACATCGTGTCGAGTGTACATCTCGTTGAAGGTCATCGTTCCCGTGGTCGCTGGTCTCCGAGTTCTAGCTCTGGCACGTTCAGCCCTCGAATAGGAACCGTAACTTGAGCCGGCCTCGACAGGTGCCGTCATGTCAACATCCGGTTCTTGGAATGACGAAGACACTTGTGGATCAGGATGCCGGGAGACCAGGAACCCAAGCAAGACCACAGGTGCGTTGGCACAGGCGGGGTGGCGGTGGGGTAGAGGGCGGGGGGCTCAGGAACTGCATCATATGTGTATGTCACGTCACTGTTGGTGTCCTCATGCATTCATATGATTTGCAGCAAAGGCTGCTGCAAAAACCAACTTCCGGTGGCACAGTGAAGTGTGCAGAAACATGCAGACATGTAACCATCGCAACCACTGCACTGAGACGGGACCTGGCCAGAGGTCTGCGATGCAGGATGCGAGGCCTCAGGATGTGACAGGTACCTAGGAGGCCCCGCTGAAAGCGCTGATTCCGGGCTGGCCGCAGTCGATCCTCCAATCTCTCTGCAGCGCAGCGCAGCAATGGATGAACCTCCGCGGCGGCGGGAGCAGGATACAGGTCAAGCTTTGACTGTTTGGCACCGAAAGCATGAACTACTTCCTGCACCACTTGCCCCGACTAAGATTGCCGCACAGCCATCCCAAGGGAAGGCTCCCAGATAGCCAGGACGGAGGGAGCGAAAACAGGTTGCCTGCCAAGGATCTAAGCGTGAAGCATGTTTCTATCTTTGACAATGCGCTGGGTTAGAATGTCTAGCTGACCCTGGATTTGAGCACCTCCATAGAGTACCTCCACCTGAGGCAACTCCCGGCGTATGCTAGAAAAGAACCACTGCTGAAACATGCTGAACGTCGCATCATGCTTGTGCTTGTCTTCTCCATGCCGAGCCACAGCTCCTGAAGAGCTTCGGCACAGAAGAAATCATCGACAACGATCAAACCGTTGTCAAGAAAGTCCTTCCGCACAAGTAGTGGGTTTGTGACCATTTTATGCAGCATGTGTAGTCGGCCGAAAGCCTTCTCAAGGGCATCCCAGTCTATCTCGGGGTTCAGCGGGTCCTAAGACATTAAGGCAGCAAGGTGACAGCAGCCAATCCAAGCAGGATGGCCTTATTCTCCCAAAGGTATTCTTGGCGAGGAGTTGGACACACCTTGGGACAGCTTCCAGCCTTCCCAGACACACATTCCAGCCATCTGCACACCTGCAGTCGAATCTCGAGCCGCTGGCACACTCAAGCCGGTCCTGAGCACATCAGAACCCACTTAAGTCCTGTCGCGGTATACATAGTTCCATGTGCAATGACAGGATTCGTAAAGTGCACTCCGGAGAGACACTTGCACTTCGATGGGCAGGTCGGTGACGCGAGCCTTGGAAGCACGACTGCACCCTGAAATCATGGACGGGGGACTGTCAACATTCGCACTAACGAATCATGTGCTTTGTGCATCTATCAAGCCGTCTGCCATTCCATCTTTCGGGTCCGGCAATGGGCTTCGTGTACTGTCGTGATCATGGACTCAGGTAGTTCAAGCAGCCGCCACTCCGTCATCTGAAAGTCAGGTTCTGTGTACGCAAATATCGTGCCGCGCATGAGACTTAACAAGGCTCCGACCCACCACAGCTGGCCTCAGTACAGGCATGAAGCCACAAGCGCAGGGGCTGCTCAGCAGCAGCGGCATCAGTCGACCATATCACGCCCGGATGCGGTCATGCCGCAAATAAACTTTTGATTCGTCTTTTAGAGTTTTGAACAGCTCGATCCCATACCGGCCTTGCATGCACCCCTCGCTCACCAGCGAACTCAGCCTCGATCTCAGGACCAGATTACCGTGTCTTTCGGAACGGATCTCGCGATATGAGGCAACCGGAGCCAGTATCCAGGAAGTCTTCATAGCGGAAATTGCAAGGGACCGGGCTGTCAACCTGCTAATCTGCACCAACTCGGGCGAAGGCGCGTGATCAAGCTGTTGAGCTGCCGAATGACCTGGGAATTGAAGCAAATACGGCGCAAAGCTCGGAGTTCGAACTTGCGGCGGCTAACTCGGCTAACTGTCTGGCTGTACTTGCGGCAAGCTGGTGAGCTGCGAGCCAACATCTGCACTGATGCGGCCAGCTGCGACCTAAGCGCAAACGGCACCGAAAATACAACAGTCTTCGAACTGGAGGAAGTCCAAAGCTAAGGGGCTTTCCAAGCGCTCCAAAAGCAGCACATCGTGACCTCTCAGATCGCGAAACGTTGGTTGAGGCAAGTATACAAGTCGGCTCCCAGGTGAAACACGCAAGCGAAAAGTTGCCACATGAAGATCCTGACACAACATCCGATGCGCAGGCAGCACGACAACCAAACCAAATAGACCTACGAAAGGGACCTCCTCCGAAGCGAAACGTGCCTGCAGGCTCTGAGATGCAAAAGTGGTTATCTTGGCCTCACAGCGAAGCCAAGCTGCTGGCAACCTTCGCGAAAGCCTCGAATGCTGCACGGTAGTCCCGCAGCCTCGGACCACAGAACTTGCCTTATCTGGATTCGTCGGGTGAGAATGTGCTAGGAAGCGACTGTCAAACTCAGCCCCAAGCCTGAGCAAGGACTCTGCCTGTTAGCTCCACTTGCACAGGGTCGAAACCGAAACGGTAGAAAGTTTGGCTGAAGGCAGCGCCAGACTTTCCCACTGCTGCATGTTTCGAGACTTCCACGATTGCCGCACTCAGTGTGGCAAAAGGATTGCAATTAACAGCAGTCCGGAAGACGTGCCTATGGTATCGGGCTAAATTACGACACGGCCCAGCTCCTCTAGATCGTGCTCTGCTAGGGATAAAGCATTCTGATCGCCAGTCGCACGTGCGTGCTCAAACCGTCTCATTGCATCAACAAGTTGCTTGCCAGTATCACCCAGCTCTTCGTACCGCGCCTGGTGCCCGTCATCACCTTCAACCATTTGTTTAAATTTCTGAAGCCTGTCATTGGCAGACATTGGCTCCGGAATGCTCGAAGGAATGGGCTTGCCGCTAGCATCAACTTGAATGTCGCAAACTGTTCCAAGCTGGTCCCAAAGCTTGTTCCGCTCCGCTTTCGTCAAAGTCAGAGACAGTTCTCCTGCATCCAAAGACCAAAGAACATCATCCCCTCGGATGTTGTGGAACAGCTGCCGGTCAAAAACGGGGATGCCTCTGACCACAACCAGCAGCTGCGCTCCACCGTTTGATGTTTGGACTTCGATGTCCTTACTCCTGATACCTGCTGGCAGAGTCCACCAGCAGTAGACTTCGCCTCCTGCCTGTTCAAAGCGAGTCGGCTCGCCCTTCCTGCTCGCTTGTAAGCTTTTCAGCTCCTCATCTGCCTGCTTCTCCAGACTTCTTCTTTCTGCCTCCTCCTCGGAATCAAGCTGTTTCTCAATGCTTGTTCGTTGGTTGGGAGTCGGAGAAACAGCCTTCGGCTTGAAGCCGCTGAACAGCGCATCTATCTCTGCTTTGTCTGCACTTGACAAGCCCACTCTGTCAGCAACCAGGTCCTGTGGCTTCTTCTTGACGACCAAGGATAGTAGCGGATCGGCGTCTCTGACTTCTTTTTTATCTTTAGCATGCAACTGGATTGGATCCTGGCGCCCAAGAGCCCGGTCTTCCAAGACACGCTCCCGGTACTCGTTCTTGACCAGCTCATAGTTCGTGATTTCTCTCTTGTGGTGCATTGCTTGCTGCTTTTTGCTTGCACGAATTTCTCTAAAGAATGTGTCCATCAGCTCCACTTGCGCATCTGGCAGACCCATCTTGTGGTATGGCAGTTCAGAGATGGGCACCGGCTCCTCTTTCTCACGCAGCTTGCTGTAGCCCTCAAAGGCGGCAAAGCCCTTCTTGTTGTTCACATCCTTCGCGTCAAAAGCCCGCGGGATGGAACTGAAATCGGCGTCACCCTTCAAAGTCTCTCGCAGCTTTTCCTTTGCTGCTTTGGCTGCCTTAGCCCTGGCAGGAGTTTGACCATTGTCTTCAAGGTCCAAACCATGAAGCAGGCCTTTGGCCTCCTGGTTTTTTGCATCGACCTCTAAGCATCTCAGAATCATCTCCTTTGCTTCACTGTGTCTCCTCAGGCTTTTCAAAGCCACTGCTGCTCGCAGCAATGCCTTCTCATGCATCGGTTTGTGCTTTAGGGCTGCCTGGCAATCATCCAATGCATCAGGCCAGCGTTCTAGCCTAAGCTGCGACTCTGCTCTGTTGGCATAGAGCGTGACTGAAAGTTGCGTGAGCGTGCTTGACAAGCTGGGGCCGGCGGCACTCACCGCAACAAGTGCCCGTGACCACTTAGCAGCAGCTTCCTTGTACGAACGGGCTGCAAACAGAGCGTTTCCCTGCTCTTTCATGGCAGACGCCGACATCTCGGCGGCATCCTCCAATGAGTCCGAGCTCTGAATGTGTGGGATTGGCAGAAGGCCACTGAACTTCTTCCAACCCACTGTGGGTGGCACTAGGGCCTCCGACTGAACCGCATACAAAGGCCTTCTGTCCTGTCCAATGATCCACCCATAAGAGCTCACGCCCGTCTTCTGGCTCTTATGAGGCTCTCGAGACAGCATGCACCTCTGGTCGTTCTCGAACACCGGGGCGTCATGCCACACCCGACTTGTGCGGACATACAACCCATCAACATCTTCAGAACCTGCACCGACAACAGCGACGGCCGCGCTGGCTTCGCCACTCAGTGCCATTGGAATCTCTGAGTGTAGACATCAGGCAGTCTCGAGCCATAAACTCTTCACACATTGCAACATCAACTTGTTTGTAGCCCGGTGCATTCAGCGAATTCATGGGGCCTTGCTTGACAAAGTTAAGCTCACTGAAGCTCACTGCCCACACCAGTGTACAGGCCTCCATCCTGCGAAGTGGCGCTGCTCGCATCGTGCCTGCATGACAAACCCACACCATCCCACACCCACGCCGCCCATGCCTGCCGCAGCTGGGGTGTTTCTCTGCATGATCGTATCATTCGCATCATTAGCATGACTTGGGTATTTCAGACAAACATATGCAAACGTGGACTCAAGGCGCATACGTCGCCCTACGCCCTGCGAGATTTGCGAACATGCAGGACGTGAGTGGCACCTGCTGCTATTGCTTTCTTTATGGTGCGCAGGCTTCGCCGTAGCATCCGCGGTAAGTTGCCGCAGTCAACACCTTGGCAAGCAAAAGAACAAGAATGAAATTGCAGCAACTTCCGGGTAGGGCTTGAAGTCTTGTGCTGACTCCTGGAGCCTCTCATTCAGATGCCGACCCAGCACATGCCACAGGCCAGCCTCCATCAATGGATCTCCTGGCCGAAAGATCAATCAAACTCTTAGTAGTGTCGGCATCCACTCTTTTGCCTGCTCTCCCTCGCACTCGCAATTGACGCAAGGCCTGAGCTGCAACACACCCGGACAGCTAGTAACTGAACTGTGTCAAATGCTGCATACCAAGTCCTCTTTCAGACTGAAAGAGTTCACTACTCGCTTTCGGTGGTCAGCGTATCTTGGCTTATCTGGAAAAATTTGCGCTGGAGTCTGCGATTAAGCGCCCGGCTCGAAACGCCAACCTTGCAGCGCGCCGCCTCCTTCCTCGCACGTGGGCCTCTCTTTCTGCGAAGTGCGAAGGAGGATCTCAGGGTCGCTGGGCCGGGCCAAACACGACCGCCGCAAGGCAAGCTGAGTCAGAAACCGCCCATGCGAGATGCTGCAGCGTTTTCGCAAATGCTGCACTGCGCACCTGCAAGAAAATTAAACACCCACGGAGACACAACGCTGGGCATGGCTTGATTCAGCATCCCTCTCTCCCTCCCTCTCTCTCTCTCTCTCTCTCTCTCTCTCTCTCTCTCTCTCTCTCTCTCTCTCTCTCTCTCTCTCTCTCTCTCGTGCAACACCCCAGGGTCCCCCGACGCAAGGGCATGCATGGCAGGCTGGAATATCTTTCGCTTCCATGAACATGAGCCTTGATTCGGCTTGGCCTTGCTCCGAGCTTCCCGGAAAACAAAGCCTTAAACATGTGGAAGCAGCCTAATGTCCCAGGCTGTCACCTTCGGCGACGCCTAGGACCACCCGCGGGAAGGCCCTAACCTCGCTGCAAATTGCAGATCGAACGATGATGAACGATGGTCCCCTTCTCACCTACAATGCGTTAATGCTTCACCTGGAGCTTGCTTAATGCGGTTTGCCTGCGCCCTGAGCAGCCTCTGTCTCCTACCTAGCTGAGTTGGTCCTAGCTGAGTTGGTGTGACAGTTCGAGATGAAGCTGAGGCCATCTGAACCAGGGCAAGTCTGGCGATTGCTTTGCCAATCTCGACATGTGCCAGATCGATTAAGCGCAGATACAGCACAATGCAGCTACGATGAAGATGCCTCCCCTCTACTTCAGGTTCGACGACAATGGGCCGGCCACCCCTCACTTTCCTCTCCTCCCAGGCACAAGGGCCGTGTTCCAGGTCATAGCCTGCCATGGGCTCCTTGAGGACTTGCAGCTCATTGCAGCTCCAACATCACGGGTTCACAACAGCCCTAAAGCACCTTGCAGTCTCAACTCGAGCAGGCAATGTTCGTCGAGACACGGGGACTCCTGCCCGGATTGATGAACAGAGTCAAAGGCTGCTCACATCACTTCTGTTGACTCGTCTGCCCCACAGCAGGTCTGGGCAGGGGATACGCACGCTCACCCACCCATCCTACTGGTCCCGTTCTCCTTCCTTCCTGACGGGCATGCAACGAAGTAGCCGAGCTTTGAAAAAGAAGGCATTCAGCTTGTGTTTGCCAAAGGGCTATACTCGGAGATGCTCTTTGGAAAAAGGACAAAAAAATCCTGGTTTTGGAAGTGCAAAGACACGTGCGAGAGATGGCGCCTCCTCCGATAAATTTGACATTCGGGTTCCGGCTCAGCCAGACCCATGCCGTACTGGGTCACACGGCAGAGCCCAGGAAATTGCATTGAATCAATGGACTCTATGATGTACGCCCGCCAGCTTGCAGCTGATTGTACGTACTGACTGAAATACAGCAGATATCAGGAGGCTGCACGCTCAGGCTAATCTCGCGGTGCACATGGTACACGCAAGATGCTCAATGTGAAGATGTGCTCCACACGCATCCTCAACAGCCTCCTTGAACAATGCAATCCGAAGCACTCCTTGACTTGAAGCATTCAGTGGGAGAACCCAAGAAGCCTGCCGTAGCCTGCCACCTGTGTGAGGATTTCTGGTTGGCCTGTCACAGCAAAGCGCGGTGTCGGAGCCGAGGCGTGTCCTTTTGGAATTTCCTGCATGTAAATTGCAAGTGCGGACAATCCAGGCGAGGCAGCAAGTGCCGAGGGATCCAGGCATGCCTGGTTGAAACCCAGCGTGCCTTCATCGGTGCGGCTTTGAGCGCTCGCTCAAAATGCAGCTGCACTCCTTATAAGGCGTCCCGTTTATTGAAATAGGCGGCCACATCCACGACTTCGGCGGCTTTCAGCGACACCTTGCGCCCAAGTCGCCTGGCTGCACATGCCAATCTGCCCATCTCACCTTGACGTCGCCTGGCAAAAAAAAGCCACGGTGGGATATGCACGAAATTCACGTGGAGACGCAAGTTCTGCACTGGATTGCACTGGCACCTGGATTCTCACACCTCTTGGAGTCCAGCGTTGCTGTCGCGCTGGTGCCTTGTGCTCGAAGGTGCTGATATGGCGTTGGATGGCGCTGGGTTGTATTAGCAGCAGACTTATCCAGGTCGCGAGCGCGAGAATACCCGACACCCCATGTTGGACTTTACGTGGCGGAAATACATAATGTGGTCTCCTGATTAGTAACGCCCCCCCAACCCCCCCACCCCCCAACATCCTGAATCCGCATTAGTGGCGGTGGGGTCCGCCTCCCTGATCATCTTTAGTTGTTTGGGGGGGCCGGGGTCTAGCTCTCAGTTGTAGTACAGTAGTACAGTAGTAATGGGTAGTACAGTAGTCGTGCAGTAGTAGTGCAGTGGTAGTGCAGTGGTAGTTGCTCTTCTTTGTGTCTCCTCTGTCTTGTCTGTCTCTGTCTCTCCTCTTCCAGGGCGTCACTTTGTAGTAGGATTGTTTATTTTTTCTTAGCCTTTAAAAGATAAGACCGGGATGGGAATTACGACTTTGAGGGGGAGTTTATTATCACGTGCAGGCCGAGTTTGGCTTCATTGACGGGGCTGCTCCACTATTAAGTTCCGGACCGAATTTAGCTATTGGCTCTATTGAGGGGGCGTTTACTAATCACGCGCTCACATGATCATGACATACCAGCGGCGAAATTACACACCAAGAGAAGCATGTTCCAAGTAGACGCTGGAATTGAGGCAGGCAGTGAACTTGGGTCAAACTGCCGGATTTGCTGCCGACGCCAGTGCTGTGGCACGTTCGACAGTATTCTAACTTTGTGTCAGAAGCTAATCACCATGTATTCGCCAGAACATCAACCAACTATTACTCAGGAATGTTTAATTCGATGCAAACCTGACAAGTGGCAGAGGCTAGTTAGTTCATTCCAAGAGAAACAAACTTTAGCAAAAAGTTTATTTCCAGGGTTTGAGCTGTTAAACTAACTAACTCGTCGGGCAGCGGTTTGTTTTCCTGACAGAAACCAACTAACATGCCTCTAGTGAGGGGGGTGGGTGGGGGAGGGGGCGCAACTAACTAACTCGCTCGGCCGGGGTTTGTTTCTTCGAAAAAATAACTAACTCGCGGGGGAGGGGTTTGTTTTTCCTATAGAAAACAAACTCTGGGGGGAGGGGTTTGTTTTCACTAGGAAAAACAAACTCCGAAGGGCGGGTGCAGCCGAGTTTGTTTTTTCCGCAAAAAACAAACTGGGATGAGGGGTTGAGTTTGTTTCGCCGGAAGAAAACAAACGTTTGAGGATCATCTTTGGTTGGGTCACGAAGAGCCAGGTTGGGGAGGGGAGGAAAACAAACCAACTTGAAACTCCGTCTCGACGAGTTTGTTTCAGCGGGTACAAACAAACTCCGACCAGGTGAGTTTGTTGCAGCGGTGAAAAAACAAACTCCGATGGGAGAAGTTTGTTTGTTTAAGTAACGCTAAGGGGAGTGGTTTGGGCGGCGCGGGGGTGCAGGAGGGTTTGTTTGTCCTACAAAAAACGAACTCCGGAGGGTTTTGTGTTTCCTACAGAAAACAAACTCTGGGTGGAGGGGCTTGTTCTCACTAGGAAAAACAAACTCCGAAGGGGGGGTGCAGGGGAGTTTGTTGTTCCTACAAAAAAACAAACTCTGGGGGGAGGGGTTTGTTTTCCTACAGAAAACGGACTCTGGGGGGAGGGGTTTGTTCTCGCAAGCAAAAACAAACTCCGAAGGGGGGGTGCAGGGGAGTTTGTTTTTCCCACCAAAAAACAAACTCTGAGGGGAGGGGTTTGTTTTTCCTACAAAAAACAAACTTTGAAAACAAACTCTGGGGAGGAGGGGTTTGTTCTCACTAGGAAAAACAAACTCCAAGCAAACTCCGAGGGAAGATGAACAAACTCGGAAGGTGGAGGTTGTCTTTCTTACAAGGATTAGCCGCACGAAATCGCTTCAGGGAGTGAGTTAGAAGCGAAGAAACGAAAGTAGATACTGTATAACCGAAAACTAGTTGAAAACGTTATCTCCAACACGAAGAATTCAGCCACGCGAAATCGCTTCCGGGGGTTAAAAGCGACGAAAAAGATTCAACATTGTATAGCAGAAAATTACACAAAAACTGCTTTTCCAACACAAACGAAGGGGCCACACGAAATCGCTTTCGGGGGGTTAAAAGAGAAAGCAAATAGTAAATGAGACATACAGTAACAGATGATGATGTAACAACAACATTTCGTCAATATGAAGGAAGAAGCCACACAAAATCGCTTTAGAACGGTACAAAGCTAAAAAATGTGGAGCTTGCCTTTTCTACAAGAAGAAGATGAGCCGCACGAAATCGTTTGAGGAAGTCCAAAGCGAATTTCTTTTCCAACACGAACGAAGAGGCCGCACGAAATCGCTTCAGGGGGGTTAAGAGCGAAGAAAAAAGTAAATGATGCACAACCGAAAATTAAACCAAAACATTTCATCAACATGAAGGAAGAAGCCACACGAAATAGCTCTAGAAAGGTAAAAAGCGAAGAAAAGTGGAACTCGTCCTAAAACCCGGGACTCCGAAAGTTTGTTTTCTGTGTTTGAACTAAATAACCCTACAAAAGGTTTGCTTTCCATGTCTAAACTAAGTGGCGCCTACCCGGGACTCCGAAAGTTTGTTTTTCTGTGTTTAAACTAAATACTTCGAAAGTGTGTTTTTGTGTGTTTAAACTACATAAACCCTACAAAAGGTTTGTTTTCCATGTTGAAACTAACTTGCGTCCGCCCTATTTGGCAAACCTAAACTCCGTGCTCCTTCCCACTGACAAACTGAAACTCATCCTTCCTTCAACTCCAAACTCAAACTCAAACGGCCCCACCCTGAACTGGTGTGTTTGGGGGTATCGGGTGGCTGCTGTTGCAGAAGACTCAATGACGACAATACACATCAGAATATGTGAAACCCCAGCGTGGACGCTGTTTGTAGTCTCCAAAAGGCGCGTAAGTCAGGAGGTGTCGCGAACTCTGGGATTTCCAGTGCTTTTCATTGCAATCTAAAGTAAATTTTGACACCGATTCTAGGGTCCAGGTTTTTTTTTGTATTTTTTAAGGTTTTATTTGGATATTGTTTTTGGTTTTCTGTGCCTGGATTGTAGAAAACCCTAAGGGTCACACGAAGGGGCCTGATTTTGGATGTTGTGGTGTATTTTTTATGGTTTTCTGGGCCTGGATTGTCGAGAACTTGCACCGTGTATGATGGATCTGGAACACTCGAAACTTTCAAGAAGAAGCATGTGATTGACGGAATTCTTCTTGACGGCAAGCCATGCACGGCATAAAAAGAATGCGGTGCAAACCCAATGTACGCATGCATCACGTTCATATGGACTCTGTCTTTGCCGGCAGAATGATGTTTGAAGCGAGCTTGCGCGGTTTGACGAAGCAGGGCCTCCCCGTCTCTTTTTGCCTATGATGGATCCGGAACACTTGAAAGTTTCAAGAAGAATTATATCACCGTAGGGGCAAAGGGGGTCTGAATTTCGATTACGCCTCTAAGCCTCTAAGCCTCAATAATATCCTTGCTGCCTGGGCGCTCCGACACGCTTCTAAGCCTCTAAGCCTCTATGGCCCCACCTGGCCGCTCGCACGCCTCTAAGCCTCTAAGCCTCAGCCTCTATTCTTAGGCGCTGAGACGCTTAGGAGCTGAGGCGCTTCACCTGGCCGCTCGCACGCCTCTAAGCCTTTAAGCCTCAATGTTTCCGGCGCGGCGTGTTTAGGCGCTTAGGCGCTGCGAGGCGCTTGGACGCCTGGACGCCCCTACACGCTCCTGGGCGCTAACATGCTTGACACACGGATACAGAAGCTTGCAGGCGCTTAGGCGCTTTTAGGCGCTTATAGGCGCTTTTAGACGCTTAGGCGCTGTGAGACGTTTGCACGCCTGGACGGCCCTAGACGCTCCCAGGCGCTATCAGGCGCTAACATGCTTTGACGCGCTTAGCGGCTTGTAGGCACTTAGGCGTTTTTAGGCGCTTATGCGCTTGTAGACGCTTAGGCGCTGTCAGGCGCTTTTGTGCGCTCAGGCGCCTTTAGGCGCTTTCAGGCGCCTAGGCGCTTTTAGGCGCTTAGGCGCTTTTAAGCGCTGAGGCGCTTTGACGCGCTGGTAGTGTGCGGGAGTGTATGCGTGCTTGCGGATAAAGGCTGGAACGCGCTGAAACGCTGGAAAGTCTAGGGGGCGTGCATGCGTTAAAGCCATCTTCAATCTTGTGGTTGTTCGTTGTATTCTATAGTGTATTCTTGCGGATAAATGTGATACCATCCGTCTACCAAGCTGTGCATGTCTTCACCCTTGCATGATGCATAGGACCGGTCATATTATGGCTACTCAAACAGGTCCTGTTGTCTCAAGCTATTTACATGCAAGCGACCAAGTGGATCATGTTACTGGGTCCGTGTGCATATGTACACATGCACGTATATGTACATGTAGGTCCCTGCTACAATAAGTTTCGATACTGCTTTTTTTCGTGTGACTGCGAGCTTCTTATTTTGTACATACTTGTGTAAGCACTTCTAAATCTATCAATGCATAAATAAACATACACATATATAAATAGACAATGCATAAAAAGTCGACCCCGTGATCCACGAAGGCCAGCTTCTGGACTACGTGCGGGTTGTAGAGCACCGAGGCCGGTTGTTTTCCATCAGGACAGCGCCGACGATCGTCTTGTGGTCGCACCCAATTGTTCTTGCCCTAGTCTCTCTGTTGCGGTTGAGCATCCTCGGGAGCTCGACGACGACGAGCAGTATAGAGCCCCGAGATCCCGCTGTTTTCAGGAGCTGGGATCCGAAGAGGAAGCCCTAGCAGGGGAGCTTGCTCGGAGCCTCAAGCTGCGTCTGAGATTCGAGCTGGCGGAGACGACCTGGCTTCGAGCAAGGAATAACCACTGGCCCGTGCCGACAATCGAACATCCGGGCCGATCGGCTGGTCGCGAAAATGGCCATGGAGAATGGAGAAGAGCTTGCAATTCCCTCGATCGAAAGACTCATGGAAAAACTGACCTGCGGAATGCCAACCTATGTCCCCGTTGA